TAGAAAATGCGGAGGCGGAAGCACAGCATTGTAAATTGACCTTTATCGCATTATATTATATGATTGATTTTGATTGGGAAGAAGAGAAGACGAAGAAGAAGAAGAAGAAGAGAGAAGAAGAAGAAGACGACGAAGAAGAGAAAAAAGACAAAGAAGAAAGACAGAGAAAGAAAGAAAAAAGAAGAAGACAATGACGAAGAAGAAGACGAAGAAGGAGAAGACGACGAAAAAGAGGAAGAGAAGAAGAAGGAGGCAAAGTAGAAAAGGAACAAGAAAGAAAAGAAGGAGAAGAAGAGAAGAACCAAAGAGAAAAAAAAAGATGAAGAAGAAGAAAAAGGAGAGAAAAAAAAGATGAAGAAGATAATAAAAAAAAAAGAAGCAATGAAAAGAAGAAACAGTACAATGGCTCAGGTCAAAATGTTATGGTGTAAATGTAATTATAATGTCCACAATTTATTGCTGGGAGGGCGAGCTATCATGGTGATATATTCCCAAGATATATCATAATGCTAGTTATACATATATCTTACTGTTATTTAAGATATTTATCATGGATTTCGCTCTGCTTAGACAAATTGAGATTCTGCAGCATCGCTTTACTGCAGTAAAAAAAAAAAAAAAAAAAAAAAAAAAAAAAAAAAAAGTTTCTTGCTTATAAAAATCTATAATTAAGGCCCCGGACTCTTTCCAAGTGCGAGCTGTGTGCCTTTGAAGTTTCATGGACTGAATTATCAAATTTTACGCTGAAGTTCCATAATTTCTTTTTTTCTCTCTCTCTTCCCATGTTTTTCTTCCTTCTCACCCTGTTTGTCAACATTTCATAAGTTTCTTCATTACTCATTATATCTCCTTTAATAAGTTTTCATTCTTCCCATCATCTTTTCTGCTCAACTCCTATTTTGCGTTTTTTTTTATCCTTCTCTTGCCCTTGTCTCTCATCGTTCCATTATCCTGAAAGAAACACTTAATTCTGAGACTCATTATTAACAAGCGATTAGAATTATCCATCAAACCATATAATTTAACAAAAGTCATCCTATCTGTATGTATCTGCCAACCCCTTTATTTGCAATTATCTATTATTATTTATTTATCAATTTATCAGTTCATCTACTTTTATTTTTCAATTTCATTTTATATCAGTTTTCTTTTTTATCTAAAAATACGTCATTTGTCTTATTGTGATATAATCTCTTGATTATATATACCAGTTCACGCATTCATCCCATTCCTTTGTTATTGTCTGTTTCACGCATTCATTCTATTCCTTTGTTATTTCTGTTTATCACGCATTCATCCATTCCTTTGTTATTATCACGCATTCATCCATTCGTTATTGTTTATCACGCATTCATTTCTATTTCATATTATTATTGGCCATTGCATTCAATTATTGCAACGCATTATTATATCACGCATTCTCAAAAGCACGGATTGATCATTCAACCCAAATCACGCATTCATTATTATTCTTATCCATCTGCAAAAACCCAAATGGATTAAATATCAAGTCCAAAGAGCTAAGTGATGGGCTCACATTTTACAGCGACTGAGTACAGAACATGAGCTCGGATTAATGAGATACAAGGGGATTACAAGCAAGCCAGACGGGACGGATTTAATTTTACGCTCGTGGAACTGTAACGCCGCCATGTTAGTCAAAATCACTTCAGCGTGTGGGGTTTCATTGCCCCGAAACGCTGCAAGGTTAATGTGAAATGATATTGGTTATCATGTTACATGGATACGTTAAATTTGTTTGTGGATTCGTCATAACATTATAAATTCGTTTGACTTGATTCTTGTTCAGTTCAGAGATTTCTTTTTCTTACTATAAGAATATAGCTTTTGGAATCTATCATAGATGATATTTCAATTGACTATTTTGATGTTTATTATTATTTTATCAGGTGTGACTTTTCCAGTTCTTATTCTTATTGTATACAACAAAGACGCAAATACAAACACACACACATTCATATATATACATATACACATCTCACTATCTATCTATATGTACTCTCTCTCTCTCTCTCTCTCTCTCTCTCTCTCTCTCTCTCTCTCTCTCTCTCTCTCTCTCTCTCTCTCTCTCTCTCTCTCTCTCTCTCTCTCTCTCACACACACACACACACAACACACTAACACGCTCATACACGCACGCACACACATATTCACTCTCTCTCGCTCTCGCTCTCTCTCGCTCTCTCTCTCTCTCTCTCTCTCTCTCTCTCTCTCTCTCTCTCTTCTCTCTCTCTCTCTCTCTCTCTCTCTCTCTCTCTCTCTCTCTCTCTCTCTCTCTCTCTCAACATTTATATAACACGGAGTCTAATCAAATCTTGTGTATCTTCAACAACAATATAAACAAAGCCAGCGACTCGAGGGCCAAAATGTGGAGCCGAATCATCGGTTTGACAACAAATTATGTAAACAAGAATTCCATTGGCTGCAATTTAACGCTTATTTGGAATTCAGAGTTGATTGTTGCAGCCTAATTGAATAC